TTCTCATGTTATTATGAGACATTACGGCACAAGTTGTCATAGCTTAGCACTTACGAGATTTATGTATATTCTGTTTAGGACAAAGGTACCTGTTTTTTTTTTTTTTTCATTTAATGTGGCTATTGAATTAAGGTTTGCAGTGTTAGGAAGGAAATCTTCACTAGACATTTGCAAGATCACTGTGTCGCAGTAGTTTCTGATTAAGTTAACGTTGGCAGGAGCAGAGAACAATGCCTTAAAGCAAGAGCTGTTTTCTCCATGTACTATCTGCTACTGGGTAAACTGCACACATAGTTGGTCTTGCAACAAGATGAGCATCTCTGTGGCCTAGAAAGGACAAAATAAAAGACTTAAAAACAGGACGTTCTGAACAGTAAGTGGGTTAATGTTGGGGGTTTTGGCTTCAGGCATCAAGAGGAGTAAAGTTCTCCTTAGGAGGTGAGTGCTCTGTGCCAGGGTCGCTATTTGGAATTAAGGCTCCCTCAGCATGTAGTACATCTGGAAACACATGTGCATATGAAAAGTAACAATTGGCACTGCTATGGATTGCAGAAGAGGAAAAAATGCACTCACCAAGCATGTAATCCTAGCCTCAAAATCAGGAGTAATGTGCCTGGTGATGTAATTAATGGTATCTCCATAACACTCAATGTGTCAGGCAGCAGAGTAAGCAGTAGATTCCTGAAGGGTAAGTGTGGAATAGCCACAAAACTACTTGAGAGAGATCACTATAAAGAGGAAAGCCTACACAAAATGCATACACATACCTCCCCTGCATGGCTGTCTCATGCACTCAATTATAAGTAAGAGAATACCAGTCACTACAGAGAGGAAGATCTTCCATCCGATGATTCACTCCCCAAGTGAGCGCAACGGCCGATGCCGATCCGAAGCCAGGATCCAGGAACCTCTTCCGGGTCTCCCACACAGGTCCAGGGTCCCAAAGCATTGGGCCGTCCTCGACTGCTTTCCCAGGCCACAAGCAGGGAGCTGGATGGTAAGTGAAGCTGCCGGGATTAGAACCGGCGCCCATATGGGCTCCCGGTGCGTTCAAGGTGAGGACTTTAGCCACTAAGCCATGCCCAGAACTCTATTTCTGAAAGACAGCTTTGGCAATGGGGCTATGGTATTTGAAGTTACGACCCTTGATAGATGAGACCTAGTCGAAAAAAAGTATTGGAGTTACTATTTTGTGTATAAAGCCCTTAGCATCAACTTGTAAGAGGAAAAGAGAGCTAGACATAACCAGTAAGAAAGATGGAATATTACTCAGACAGTAAAAGCATATTTTAGGGATTTCTCAATAGAGTGACAGAAACAATTTTTGAAGCTGCTATAGTGGCTAAACAGCCCAGCTCTCAGGGACCCTTCCTGATTAAAAGAAATATGCAGGGTTGTATACATTAAGCTTTGTTTCCCCAATAAAGGTTTTTACAAATAATTCATAACAGGGGAAATGTTTGACAGTGACTGGGTCCACAAACTCAACATCCCAGGGAACATCGCTGTAGACAAGTCTGCGATCTGTGCCTTCAGTGGGCACCTGGGTGGAATCCCTTGTATTTGATGATGTCTGAAAACAATTGGATAGAAAGAAGAAACGAAGTGGATTTTGCAGAAAAGAAGGGTTGTTAGTTGGGACAGTCCAATGAAGGGAGGTTTTGTTTTTTAAAGTAAGTGTAAGGCAGGCTCAGGGATAGGGTAGGGAAAGTGCAGCAGGCAATTCCTATGGAAGGAGACATGATGAATACTGCTTAAGTTTACATAGACATTTAGATGCCAAGGGCTAGGCAGAAACTAGTTTTAGTTATTATGGTCAAGTATATATGTTGGTTCACACCCTCAGGAGCAGCGTTACAGGGTCTGGCTAAAGGTAACATTGTCTTGCTAAGTCTCTGCTGGCAATGTGACAGTAGATTGCTGTGAAGCACAAGGCACAAATGACTATCATTAAATGGATAGCAGTGGGATTTCCATCAGTGCTGATCAGAGATTGTGTTCCCCTGGAGCTGAAACAAGGACAACTAGAAAAGCTACAATGGATGCTACTTCCGCATCCTGCAGCCTAGGATGTTGACATGGTATCCTCTGGGGTGGAATAATACAAAACTTGTCCTTAATAGTAGACCTAGTCCTGAGCCATGACTTGCTCAGACTGGAGCTACTCACCACTTGTCGTCTTAGCGAGCTGCCATGTGGATAAAAGTTTGTCACTTGATGAAATAATGTGCTGTGAACAAGACATGAGTCAGATTTGTTGAGATATTTATCGTAACTGGAACAGAGTTCCAATGATTAGAAGTTTGCTCAGTTGGAATAGTATTCTCTATAAATCCTAAAGCATATAACATGTGTTGACACTGTTGGCAAATAAAATCCAATAGTTATGGAAATACTAGAATGAAAATCATAGCAAAAACATTAGGAACAAAATATAGGACATAAACAGGGTTTTAATACAGCTACAGAAGGCTAAAATTGCCTTGTGTAGATGGAAGAAAAATGTATTATTGCATTTTGCAACCAAAAAAAAATTGAGATACAAAGTAATCCAAGTAAACATAGGTAACTTGGAGATCCATGTGTGTTTTCTGATAGTCTGTGGAAATTTGTTATTAAGTAATGAGCTAGAAAACAAAAGTGTGTTGCTAAATTTTTAAGGAACAAGTATTCTCCATAATTAATGTGATCATATCATATACACATTCTAAATTAATGCAACAAATTAAATTATAGGAAGTATATATTTCTTATTGTCCTTGTCCGTACAATTCAAATTTTTTATTTTCCCATTTAGGACTTGACTCAGTCTACTTCTGTGCGTGGTATGCACATATGATCTGATGTGATGTCCCCTGCCCCACCATAGAGCCGTTCACAGCACTGTTCATCCTTTCTGATTTCATTAGTGCAATTAGAAATACACAATAGAACATTTCAAAATAAGAAATTACAGTGTTCAATGATAAGTGACTCAGTTAGAAGCACAATAGGGATTACTGAATGTAAGGAATTGAATGGTGTAGAGTGATCCCTCATCCCTGATTTGTTCTGCAAATGCCTACAGTGCCCATAGCCCAAAGTATCATCCAGGTGTCCCCAGAGCACAGTTATTTTGGCCACTATCAGTGTCTCCTGTTTGAATTAGAAAATTGGAGTAAGGATTGAAAATGAGGGACATAGAGTTGCCTGCCTTGTCCTGTGTATTCTCTCTCTTAGAAAAAAAAAAAAAAAAAGACAGTAGAGGCAGGAGCTTCACCAAGTTGTGGATGTGAAGACTCAGCAGTAGGAGCCATCACTTTGCAGTGTAATCTGGAAGTTTAGTGTAAGTCAAATGTAAAATTTTTACAATTTTCATGAATGAAAATTGTAAAAATGAAGGATTTCATACTCTGTTTTGAGGAAGAGCAAAGACAGACGAGGCAGCCTACCTGACCGCTCTGGTGTGTGATTGCACTGGGTTATGCAGGTAGATGCATGGAACAGGGAGCTCAGAGGCACACCCGGCTGTGGCTGCTGGATGCATGGCAGGGAAGAGATGGCCTGTGCTGTGAGCGGTTCCATCGTGGCATAAGCGAAGTAAAAGCACATGTGATCACACCACAAACAAAAGTAGGCTCTAAGTCCTATAAGTGAAAGAAAAGATTTTTTTACCTTCAAACTGTAGATATAAGGAAGATTTTCTCAGAGGAAGATGTTGACATGAGTTATAAATCTTTTGTACTGTAGGATACCATGAACATATAGCAAAGCTATGCTGCACTAAGATCAGGGAGAGAATGCTGGCCACACTCATAAGTGATGAAGAAAAAAAAAATCTAGAGCATATATAGAGTGTTAGGATGTAGTAGCAGTTATTAAATATAAGACAGTCCAGCAGGACAACATGAAAAGCCAGTTCATAGATAAAAGTTCAACATCACTAGCACTGAAGGATAGTGCAGGTTGAAGTGTACCTGTAATAGAAACCCTGACCCACTTCTTCGGAGAGGAATTGGGTGACATGAAGGAATGTTGAAGATGATGCCAGGACTTGCAGTGCCACATCAAGGAAAGTATAAGGAAATTCATTGCCTCATTATTTCTAATGGTGAAAAGTTGGAAACAACCTAAATGTCCATGGACAGAACAACAACATTGGCATATTCAAGCAACAGAGTAATAATACTTGACAGCAGTTAACATAGCGAAGTATTAATGTATCAACACGGACACATCTACAAATGGTGTCGAAGGCCAAAAGCAACTCTTACAACGGTATGTATAATCTTACACATAAAGTTCTTAAATGCAAAGTTTAAGAACCTGCCACATTATGCTATTACATTGTATCCAAAAAAATGGCTGTGTTTGAATTGGGAGGGGGCAGGGATCAGCATCTGTTCAATGTACTATTTGTGGACACCTTCGTGGTACTTAATGGACATGGAAATCAATATGGCTTGATCTGGAGAGGAATGGTATGGTATTGAAGAGAGGCCTATGGGCGAGCTTAAGCTTGAACTGTCATATTTTAATTTTTCAAAAACCTTTTGAAGACAATATGACCAATGGTAACGTTGAGGTGGGTCCATGTGTATATTCCTGGTATGTTGCACATTTCTGTTGAAACTATTTGATCATTTTGAAGAGAATAAAGTGCTGCTAGAATGTAAAACCATCTCCTGACATTATAAAGGAATATCTACAAAATGGTTAAATCCTTAGCTCTTTGCTTTTTTTGAAGCTTGGTTTTCATCAGACTTTTAGTGTAAGGCGAAAACCTGAAAAGCATCTCTCTTCACATCCCCCAATTTGCCATTTTATTTTGTTCTTTTAACATTGTTGAGATTGTCATCATAAATCCCATTCATTAGTGCTTCTCTTTTGCTTGCTATTGTGTGGTGGTGGTCAGATGCACCTGTCTGCCATGCTATGTGAAATTTACTCAGGATAGTTATACTCCTTTCTCTTTCTCCCCCCCCCCCTTTTTTTTCTTGTTTACCCCCTAATGCTAACAGGAATCTGCAAGCAGAATATGATCGTCTGAAGCAACAGCATGAACATAAAGGCCTGTCCCCACTGCCGTCCCCTCCTGAAATGATGCCCACCTCCCCCCAGAGCCCCCGCGACGCTGAGCTCATTGCTGAGGCCAAGCTACTGCGTCAACACAAAGGCCGCCTGGAAGCCAGGATGCAAATCCTGGAAGATCACAATAAACAGCTGGAGTCACAGTTACATAGGCTAAGGCAGCTGCTGGAGCAAGTGAGGCCCACATCTCTCGAATACGGGCTGTTTACAAGTGTTCGTTTTCCCCTCTTAAACAAAGCTGAGTCCTCTTTCCAAGTGCAGCAGGCATTGTCTCTTAAGTCTTTGCTCTGAGTCTTTACGAGTCCTAGGTAGGAAGGGATATTGATGAGCAGGGAAGCTCCTGTGCCCTTTTGGATTTCTGCAGGATTTTTTCCTACCACAACTTTTATTTTGCTCACTGTGAGATGTGCTCAGAAACATTGTCAAAACATCTCCACTAAGGAACAATTTCAAGCAACTGCTTGAAATTGAACTCTTTTCATGGCAGTTGATATATATTTGGGTTTCTTTTTCTTCTGTTCCCTAACATAATTGTTTAAGCTTCTATTGAAAAACCCAGCAAGACACTGCATTGTAACACACCCTACCTAGACATGAACCAACATTTAAAAAGAAAAAAAATAAAATACTCCAAACAAAAAATTCTTATAAACACACACAAAGAATCCTCAATTTCATTTCTGAGATCTCTTATCACCCACTACATCTTTCACTTTTTACTCTTAAAATATGAGGGTACTTCAAATTCGTAGAACAATTAAAAAGATAAAGTTTGGAGCAAAAATTTAAGATCTTTGTGTAGTTTTTTTTTATATTATAATTTTCCATGGACTCTCTGAAGTACCTTTATATATCTCATTCCACTGTATCTGTATTTTTTTTTCCCCTCAAACTTAGAAGAGGGCAGGATGCAGACATGAAGAGCGTACCAATGGAGAAATCTCCCAGATTAACAACTGAGCAGTTTCTAGGAAGGAAGAGCAAGAATACCGGAGTCTATAATTCTGCAATGTTTTACATTGATATATGTGATTATTTCTTACAAAAAATAACTCTTTTTCTCTTTGGATGCCTTAGCCCCAAGCAGAGGCCAAGGTGAATGGCACAACCGTGTCCTCTCCTTCTACCTCTCTTCAGAGGTCAGACAGCAGCCAGCCTATGCTGCTCCGCGTCGTTGGGAGTCAAACTTCAGAATCCATGGGTAAGTGTCTTTGAGCTATTCGGATTGTCTCTCTTACCTCCTAGGAAGTTGGCAGTGGTGCCACACTTGCTCAGAGCTTCCAATGATTTGCTACATTATGTAATAGCTGTTCTGGACAGGGCATTATCATAAATACTTCAGTGATGGGTAACCTGCACCTTCAAAGAGCTAGCTTTTTAGATATTCCCAAGACAGCCAGCCAAGTGCTGACAGAAGTTCCATTCAACTTGCAGCCCAGGGAAGGCTTTACTAACAATTGATGTTTGAAGAAGGAATAATGCAAATTACAGCACAGGGCTAAGGACGAGGCTGGGAAATTGTGGATCTAGAAACAAAGTGGCAAGGAAGAGGTGTTTGGCTCTTATGTTGTTTTGTAACAGAGGGCCTCTGACCATTGTAACAGCTGAGTCATCTAAAAAAGAAATTATTCTAGCAGCCCTATGTGACCCAAAGTAGAATTTGCACAGGAGAGACAAGTTAGGAGGAAATTACAAAGCCCAGGGTTCTGAGGAGTAGTTCTTGTGAGACCTGGGTAGAAGATGAGGCTAATTCATAAAAATAGAGTTCCTGGAGACCAACTACAAAATGGGAGGAAAGAAGGAGAGGGGCTCTGGTTTAAAGAAGATGGTGTGCTTGAAGAACTGGAAAGTGTCCGCAGTGATGTCTGCAAAACATGCTAAACCACAGATCTGTGCCCGGTGGAAGAGGGCAGGCTGACAAGATGTGAACCTCTTCATTTGATTGTTGAAGGATGTGAGATGAGAAATAAGTAACAAGTGTGCTTGCATACAGGGTCTTGGCGAAGACCTCCCTTTGCGTGATGGGGTATTGGAGGCTAGGGAATAGGGTCAAGGGAGATAAAAACAAGTTATAAAGTTAAAAGAGAACTCATCCCACTATGACACTGTAAAATAAGAAAACACTTTTATACTAGAGAAAGGAAGCTAGAGAACTTCTATTTTTTTCTTCCAGTGGTATTAAAAACCACCGATTCTTTAAAGTGGGTAAAGGTTAAGACTAGTAAAGACAGTTTTGAAACATCATGGAGTACAAATGAGGGTCAATGTTAAATTCAGTGGACAAAGAATGAGCATGGTCTGGTCTGATTATTTTGCACTGTTCTCTGCCTAAGACTGGTTGTAAGAAACCTGCAAATGAGGAGGCATAAATGATAAAAGGTCAGAATGGATGCAGCATTTCCCATTGCTCATGAAGGTGACGGTGTACTGGCCTGCTGTATAATAGCATGCTTTATGGAAGCTACTCATCCTTGCCACAGCCCTCATTTCTCCTTCTCTCTGAAGGCTTAGCACGAATCAGTCCTATGTTAAACTGTTCTCTTTCCCCAGAAGCTAAACTACTTTGATGCGACTCTGTCAGTCTCACCTCACAGACACTTGTCTTCCTGGCATTCAGGAGTTCATTTCAGACCTGAGATCTTCTAGGATGCTAGAATAGTGTCACATCAATGCCACACAAAGGAAAGATGCAAGGTGTGACTGAGGTCAGGAAAGTTGGCAATTTGGGCTTCATGCAAGTCACATGCTCCCTGGTGATTCTTAGACCTAGGATATTGCTTGAGATGTCCTAGGAATAAAGGATGCAGGTAACGGGGTTGCTAAGGCTAGAGTGGTGAAGTCCTTATGGCAGTCGAGGGATGCGGATAGGCGAGAAATTGAGGAAGGCAGATGAGGGCTGTAAGGAAGTGAGCCTGGTGGTTGAAGCAAATCTGATGAAGGACAGTAACCATCAACAATGAACAGAGCCCCCACCACAAGGGAGAACTTGTAGGAAAGCAGCTTTCAGTTCTTTTGAAAAGAAGGAAAAAATGTTTGCCCTTGTTCCTCTGACTGGATTGGACTGCCATGATTTACAGCAACCTGTTAGCTTCCCTTTTCCCACATGAGATGCTTAGTGCATTGCTGGGACTGTAAATGATAGCAGAGCGCATGGAAAACAATATAGATATCTATACCATGTATCACCACAAAGCCCATAAATTTGGCAAACAAGTAAGCATTAGTACCTCCGTTGCTCTTTCCTACTTCAACATTTCCCTTTTCTGGCAGCAAAGCCTGTGTGACTGGCTTGTATATGTTAGCAGGGAGCTTCAATAATATAGCTGTCACCCCTCAGGAAGAGGTAGCCTGTCCGCCCGAGAAAGCCCCAAATTAAAGTACACATCAGCCTGTGCTCCTGCTGATTCGTGCAACCAAGAAGGATGCTGGCAGACCTGACTACAAGGAGAGAAATGCTGTATTCCTGGAGCCAAGTTAAGCTCAGCAATAACTTGCCAACATAAAATGGATAGGCTGTGTTAAGTTTGTTCTCTGAAAGACAGAATTCAGTTCAAACGTGCCTTTGTTTTATGGAACTGCATATAGTGGCTTTCTTCAAGAAGGAAAAAAAAACAGCTATCTTCTTGAAGGATGCACAGAAAGTGTTTAAAGTAATGCAGTGTGTATTTGCGCGCTTTGAGATTTGCTGGATTCTTCTCTATCCAGAGAGTCTAGGGTTGTCTATTAAAAGAAAACCATTGTTTGTTTTTTTTTTTTTAAGTGAGGGGAGACATCCTACTGGGAGCTCTGTCTACAGATTTGAAGTCAGCACTGTGCATTTGCAACTCTACTGATGGTATTGGTTCAGGACTGATACAGTCTGAAAATTGTTTAAAAGGAAATAGTTTTTGTTATTAGTTCCTGAACGACACACTGTAACAACCATTCACAAGGCATGTTCATGTTCATTGTGTATGCCATGGAGACGTAAGCTTAAGCATACAAGAAGCCATGCACAGCTATTTATGTAAACAGTGTGCCATTTTGTGGAAGGGACAGAGAATCCGGGAGTGTGCTATCCACACGGTGTCCTGAGGGCCAGCTAGCTGGAATACGACTGCTGCGTAGCATGTGTGTTCCAATCTCATGTGATGCGGAGAGTGTGTACATGACTCGTACTTTCTATTCACTTGTTTCCTGCAATAGAATCTAACATTTGCTGGCTGCAGCCCTACACACACACACATAAGTTTTTAGAAAAAAAATTGCTTGCTGTAAACATAATAAATAATGTTTTCTACAAATATTATTATGTATATATAGTTAGCATTTTTAAAGTAATGGTCCCCTGACTGCTTATTTACAATACTTTTTGAAAATTGCAATTCATGGACTTTTGCATATACTTTTCTGGAATATAGAGACTCCAATATGTTACTATACTTGCATGTTACATGCATCATTATCGTATTTGTATAGTTGAATTATTTGGCTGCTCTAAATATACTGGCACTTCATTCTAAACGTTTCCAAGATGATAGACATAACCACAATATTATTAGCATACTCATCAAATGAATACTGTTACAAAATGGCCATCTAATGTGCAATTTACATTCCCGTGCCTGCCATTCTTTGTAGGTAGTGATTTTTTTTTTTTTTAATTCAGGATCCATTCAAGGGTTGTCATATCTAATTACTTTCCTTTAATCTGGAACACATTTCCAGCCTCTTTCATGGCACTGACATTTTAAAAGCGCTTAGGGACAGATGTTTTGGAATCAGTTCTTCCATTTGGATTTGCCTCATTGTACCATCGTAATGAAATTCACTGTAAATACTTTATGCAGGATGACTGCATGGCTAAGATGGCAGTCCTTACAGTGCAACTCACCCAGGCTTTCTCCCCCCACTCTCCTTCCTGTTCTGTGCTTCTGCTCTGTTTGTCATCACTCAGGATTCCCATTTCAGACTTCTGAAGACCTCCTCCAAGTTCCCAATCTACACCTAGCCATTTGCTGCATTTTTTCTCATTGCCTGCTGTCCTTAGTCATGCCCCACCACTACTCATCCCAATGCAAAGGTCAGGTTGCTGTGCATTTTATAAACAGCAATACTGTAGCTTTCAGCTTCTGCCAGAACATGCCGCTCAAGCACTACCAGAATACTATGAAAACACTATCCATCGGTATCGGGGTCTCCCTTTTTAATCATTCATATATTTCTAGCCACTTCCTATCTAGATACTATCATATCATTCAGCAGGCATGTAAGAGCTAAAACTGCTACAGGAGGGGAATATAGCTACCATGGGCACCTTTGTCCTTGAACATAATGACTTCCTTAACCTAACATATACCATTCTTTTTGCTCAGTGAATTGTCCTTTAGAGCTTAATCATGCACTCTACTGTATAAACCAGATTCATAAGATATAAATACTAATTAGTAATAACTGTTTATTATATCTTCTGCCTAGAATTCCATGGACCTTAAATTTTGTCAGGACAGGGCATCTTTAGTCTTTGCTCATTTTCATGCTATTTAAGTACCCTATACACAACAAACATTCAGGAAACATTTAGCAACTTAGTGTTTTAGAATTCAAGCATAGCACACTGTTGTCGATAGGGAACAATTCACACACTAAACAGTGTAGCTGCTATTTACATTATCTCACCCCTGTCACCACTGACAAACTGATCAGCATCATCATCTTTGTAGTCCATACTATATTAAAGTTACACATAGTTTGTATAAAATAGGAACATGTATTGTAATTTATAATGTGAAGAATTAAAACTAAATATCAGGTGCTAGATCATTATGCTATTTCTTCTGAAAAAAAAAAAAAAACAGCTGACGAAAAGCAGAAACAATGACAATTCAGAGAAAAATAATGGTGTACCTGTTTGTACACAGCTCCTTGTATCAGGGTAAATGATTTTGCCCATAGCTCCTGTTTTTAGAGAAGGCAGACTGAATCACAGGAGTGAAGATTCTTTGATCTATTCTGTATTGGCTGTATCTATTCTGGCTCCGTTTTTCTAATCAAGTAGAGCAAGTATCAGCACTTGAATTGAGAAAAGAGAAGTGAATCAGCCAGGATGTCTTCCATGGCAAGCCACTCAGTTCATTTGTCTGGTATTACATTGAGTCATTCCATTGGCAGTAATTGAAGGGAACTATCACAAAATGCTCTATCTAGGTACTGTTTAAAGCT